GAAAGTTGACATACATACAGCTATAATCACGAGACGCTCTATAGGGGTGAAGACGGTCGTGTGAGCCCACACTTATCCTTCATTCCTCTCTCTCTTTTCTTTGTTTGATTGCTGACCGACTCGCCGCACTTTTTTTTTTTTTTTTTTTTTTTTTTTTTTTTGAGTCCAGGTTGTTGTGGAGATTGGATGGGTTACAGGTAAGTCCTCGTCTGAGGCCCCAGATCAAGAAAACCGAAGTTTTCCATAGTCAGTTGAGAATGTTCTCAAAAAAAAAAAAAAAAAGCAAAGAATGCTCTTAATCTGTAACCACCAGGAGCAAGATCCCACTACCGATGTATGTGGATTAGTGTTTAAGGTGTGTGACTGTCAGGCATCGTGGATTCGGCAGGAAATCACCGGTAGCCAGTTTTTGTGAATTAAGCCCAGGGAAAGGATGTTTTCTTTTGCTCTCTCCCATTGGTAGGTTTTTCTTTTGTTTTTGTTGTTGGGGTCCTGTGGCTGTCCCAAACGTGCGTGAAATCACAACCAAGTTTTTTGGTTCGTGAAATCACACACGTTTCGCTCACGGCGAAGGCAAAGACGGATGACTTCATCGCTGGAATTTGATTGTGGTTTGGGAGGTGTTTGGGAGGTGTTTGGGAGGTGTTTGGGAGGTGTTTGGGAGGGAGGTGGGTTCGATCCCCTCACCTACAGCAAATGGTGTATGGAGTTACACTTGCCCTCCTTTGCCAAACAGAATTTCCTGTAGAAAGACACCCCCTGCTGACCATGGCCATGTATCCCCATCCTTCACAAAAAGAAGTCTGATGTGGATTCTGAAGTGAAGGCAGGATCCCATAAAGTCTCCAATCATCCGCCCAAGGCCCAGAAATAAGTCTCAGCACCCTGTAATCAAGTCACAGTGCTTTAACCACCAAATCCACAATTCGTCAGCCAACGGGCAGCCGAGCCAAAGATGGGCGTTGGATTCCCAACCCCCCAATCGCATCTTTTAAATGTTATGGATAGTTCCATGCCTTTCTGAGAGAGCCACACGGCAGACGCCACCACCATTAGACTCTGTACCCATAGTTAACTAGCGTCCTTCCGGGATGGCAAAAAAGCAGCAGAGCTTTCCAGAAGGCTGTCCAGTCTGGTTTTGGAGCTGAACCATTTTTTACCCTCCATATTTACCCTCTTCCATTTTTTACCCTCCATTTTTTACCCTCCATTTTTACCCTCCATTTTTTACCCTCTTCCATTTTTTACCCTCCATTTTTTACCTTCCATTTTTACCCTCTTCCATTTTTTACCCTCCATTTTTTACACCCTTCCATTTTTTACCCTGTCCAATCTTCTACGGGCCAGTAGGGAGGGGGTGGTATTTACTGTCAGTTGAAGGCATCCCGGTTCTACCATAAACTGGGACGCCGGACCTAACAGCTTGGCAATTTTGGCATCCCTGCAACTCTCAGAAAAGACAAGACTGTTCTTTCACACTAAAGACTACTCTTGCTTTCCAGTAGATTTGCAAGAGAGGTCCGTCGATGAGTTTCCTCTCAACAGTCTTTTCTGAGATTTGCAAGAGAGGGCCGTTGATGAGGCAGCCTGTGATGGAACTGGGAAACTCGTCAAAGGCCCTCTCTTGCAAATCTCAGAAAAGACTGTTGACAGGAAACTCGTCAACGGCCCTCAGGAATTCTTAGGGAGGGCACAAAGGAAAAAAGGGGGGAGACGAAGATGAGACTTTGTGCCATCATAAGCTGCTAAAAAAAAAAAAAAAAAAAAAGCCAAACAAACTGGCTACTGATGCCAGGATAACTCCGGGTCGAATTGTGAGGTCCCTGGCCGCATTCTTTTAGTTCCAATCTATTAATGATTTTTTTTGGTTAAAAAGAAAAGAAAAAAAAAAAGAAAAAAAGAAAGAGAAAAAGAAAGAAAAGAAAAGAAGAGAAGAGAACAAAAAAAAAAGAAAAGAATAGTGGAACACACTATTTGTACTACAGTTTTTTTTCTCAACAAGGTGGGAAGATCTGAAGTAGACAGTCTTTGCAGAATTGTTTTTCTTTTCCTTCTGACTTTTTTTTTTTTTTTTTTTTTTTTTTGGACCAATTCTCGATTTATGCGTGTCATCCTTGAAATCGCAGGGGCCATGCTAATCTTCTCTGTATCGTTCCAATTTTAATGGATGTCCCGAAGGACCCTTCTGACATTTTTGGACTGTTCCTATCTTCCTTTTTTTTTTTTTTTTTTCGTTGGGTCCATTTTGTCTTTGAAGTTCGAATTGAACACACAGTCTCAGCAAGGTGGGAGTTCTCAACTGGACAATTAGTTGCATGTTTGTAAAATTGATGAAAATTTGAAATTGAACTGATAAACGTCTTGGCATCGCCTTCTTTTTCCTTGGGTGGGTGGGGGCCGGTGGCGGGGGGTGGTGTGGGGTTGGAGCAGGTTCTCTTTCTGGGAAGTACTTAAGCGGAGAACTTCCCGAGGGATCGCGTTTTGCTATGTTTCAAACGTTCATGAGTCGATTTATTAGCGGTCGGACAAAGGAAGCAACCAGCCAGTACGCTCAAATTGCACATGATATAGGTGAGTATGTCCTTCCAACTTTTCTTCCAATCCAACGGAAATCTCTCTCTCTCTCTCTCTCTCTCTCTCTCTCTCTCTCTCTCTCTCTCTCTCTCTCTCTCTCTCTCTCTCTCTCTCTCTCTCTCTCTCTCTCTCTCTCTCTCTCTTGCTCGTTTGTCCGCTCGTTTGTCTGTCATTTACATGAGGACTTAGCTTCCACAAAGTTGAGCATTGCTCCTTTGAAGCTCCTCCTTTTGTGAACTTGTATGTTATCTTGCTCTCCTCTCATTGCGTTTCAAAGTGTTCCATCGGAAGGACGCTTTCAGCGTTCTTTGGTTCACAAGTGTTCGACTTGTTCGTGATTTCGCCATCTTGAATGCTGTCACCTGTCTCTCATTCTGCTCCTCAGCTCCTGTTTGAGAACCCCATGCTGCCTGCCTCCCCTCCTCAGAGGGCCCGCCCACTCCCTCCTCTCAACCCTGGACAAGCTCGTGTCTCTGTTGCTCGTGCTATCCTGTGTAGCTCGACCGCTCCAAGACCCCCCTTCCCCGTGCTGCGCACTCCGGGGGCATGGTGGTTAAGCTTCGCGCGGTTATGCACTCGGCACCGCCGCGCGGCTATGGCTAAACCCTAACACTGTGCCGCTCGTGTCACGGGAGCAGAGCGCTACGGCGCCGGCTTCCCGCTTCTTCCGAATCGTGTGAATCCGCACCTTACCCTTTTAGACCTTAGCTACTGCTGTTTTTATTACTTTTTAATTTGGTATTAAAAATACTAAATTAAAAAAAAAGGGAACTTGTCCAACTTTTTTTTATGTTTTTAATACTTTTTATCACTTTTTAATAGTTTTTTATCTGTTTGTTTTTTTCCTTCATTTTTAAATTTCATTGGTTAACCGTCACTTTCTCCAATTTTTTAGCTTGTCATGATCATTGCTGTATCTGGACTGAAAGTTGACATACATACAGCTATAATCACGAGACGCTCTATAGGGGTGAAGACGGTCGTGTGAGCCCACACTTATCCTTCATTCCTCTCTCTCTCACATCTAGATGTGTATAAGAGACAGCTCTCTCTCTGTGTGTGTGTGTGTGTGTCTGTCTGTGTGAGTATCCTGTTTTTTTGTTTTTCATTTGTTTTTAGAGTCTTGCTGTTGTTATGATTCAGGCCAGGGTTCGACCCCTGTACCTCAAAAACACAAGCCCGCTATGGTTGAAATGATGACCGGCGAAGGAGACACACATGCGTAGCAGACTGATTATTTCGCAGCTGTGCAGAACACACTAACATACGGCATTGCACCTTTGACAAAAAAAAAGCCATTGGGTCTTCGGATCTTCTTGGGTTGCAATGGGTGAGAATGCACAAACATGATCACACAAGATCAAAGTCCAGTTATCAAAACGACAAAGCTTTATTAATTAGAGTAGGTCGTAATCCAAGAGGCCGCGAAAGCGACGACTCGAGAATCCTCCTAACCCTCCACCGTACCTCCTCCCTACACTCATGCCTCACATCACTGCCATACCAAAAACTAGGCAACAGCCCAGTGCCATGTCGAAAGAGGACTATACTGTAAACTACAGCATCTATATATAGTAAAGCATTCGACCAAAACTATCCTACTAGCAATCCTCGCAAAGCAAACTTGCCGTAAGCATCCAAATCGGCTCTCGATTCCACGCGAAGTTCCTCAGGCCTTTCGCGAAAAATCGATCGGGAAAGTCCCTGGCCCGAAATTCCCTCCTGAGGGTCAGCACCTGCCCCGGGATTCGCGCACGATCCGTTGTGTTTCTGTCAATCCGAAAAAGCCACCCGGTAACAGCTCCCAGCTTCTGTTTTCGTGAGGACCAGGACCCGAAATCCTGGCCCGTCCGAAAAACCAGGTCCTGCGTCGACCAAATAGTTTCTTGATTCTTCGTCTTTTGGAAGCTTCCCAAATAAGGAGATGAAGGCCTCACTTCCAGGGCACAGCCCAGGAAGTCCCAACTTCCTGATTTGTCGTCCGTCCTCTTTAAAGTCAGTGCCTTAGCATAGCACCTTTCGAACGCCCGTCTGATTCTGTTTGCCTTAGCTATCCTGTGTCCTTCCCCTTGCTTATAGGCCAGAAAGATAGAAACATCGTCCATCAATCTGACCCCGTACACCAGTCTCTGGTCCTTCCCGTCTGATTCTGTTTGCCTTAGCTATCGTGTGTCCTTCCCCAAGGACATCATCCATCAATCTGATTCTGTTTGCCTTGCAGACCACCTCCCACAGTATCTGAGTTTTTTTTTTTTTTTTTTTTTTTTTTTGAGTCCAGGTTGTTGTGGAGATTGGATGGGTTACAGGTAAGTCCTCGTCTGAGGCCCCAGATCAA